CTGGTTCTTGTGAGTTTGTTCTTGTCATTGTGTTAATTATATAGCTTTAGACGATATGCATTGTCCGTTAATGATGAAGCATCCCGTCATGCGCGGAGTTATTGTACGGACAATTGAATCTGTTCGGGCTGTTTTCTTTTTCAAAGCAGGAATGATGGTCTGGAGGAATGTGGTGTGGTGATTGCTTTATCCTGTTTGAATTAGTAGGAACAGCTAAACTCTGTGGGGAGAGTTCATAGGTTGTTTGCTGCTGTTGTTTTCCTGTTAAGCTAGTTAGCGTAGCCTCCCAGAACACACATGTATAAAAGATATAAAACAAAGAGATAAAAGATCAAACAAAGAGATAAAAGATCAAACAAAGAGATAACAGATCAAACAAAGAGATAACAGATCAAACAAAAAGATAAAAGACATAAAACAAAGAGATAAAAGATCAAACAAAGAGATAAAAGATCAGAGATAACAGATGAAATGAGAACATGAAGTGTACGTCTCCAGTGTTTCACTCTCAGACTGATCAGGTGTGACATAAAGCAGACTGAAGACAACGTGATGCTGAGACTCACCGAGAGGAAGTTCTTCTCTTCAGTTCAAAGTCAAACTGACGCTTTAAACTGACGGAGGACAAACAGGAAGTGAGGGAGGAGACAGTTTGTGTCCACTTCCTTTATTTCTGATGAGTGAAAACAAATGAACTGAATTTGTTTGTTTTTCTTTGATAAAATAATTTGTAATAACTTTAAAGTAAAATACATTACTCTGATTGAAGTACAAGTTCATGGTACTTTACTCGAGTATTTCCATCTTCTAATACTTTCTACTCCATTGAGGTCAAGGAGAAGTGGTTAGGAAAGGACATAGGAAGCCACTTTTTACACCCTGGAGACAGAAACCAGATTCTTTGATTGTTTACAGGCCGTTGAGTTGATCAGATGAGATCCAGACTGGTGAACAAGGTGAACCCAGAAGCACCTGAACTCACCTGAACTCAGGATAATCAATGTGAAGTTAATGTGTGAAATCATCGTCTCCTCCTTTCATGTTGTACGTTTTATTTTGAAAGCAACCAGAAACACATGAAGGTCGACTTCCTGTTCGAACTGAATATTTAAATGCGATCGGTTGGTCCGTTGTTGTTCAGAGGCAGAAGGCGTGTCCTTGCAGCAGTATGGGGTCTACCACGCTGCACTGCAGGGGCAGGTCCACCGAGAAGTCGGTGGGCAGAGCCTGCAGCCTCTGGCGGGGGGGTCGACCTCCTCTCTGAGGGATGGGCAGCTCTGAGTGGTGAGCAGGAAGAGGAGAGGAGAAGAAGAAGGGATGGAGGAGAGCCTGTGGAGAGGATACAATACAATACATGTATTAATACATCAATCAATACACCAACACATGTATTAATACATCAATACATCAACACTGAATCCTCGGGTGGAACCCTGAGGAACTCCACTTCCTGTTTCTCACCTGTCTGGCAGAGCAGCGCTGATTGGACGGATAAACCAGGAAGTTGTAGAGCAGGTCGACGGCCTGAGGGGAGGAGTCAGGAACGATCTGCTCCAATGGGATCGCTGGATTCTCCTTAAAGGTGATTTTATTGTAATCTGGTAACTCCACAATCTCCTGGAGGGGAACAGATGTACTTATACTACTGCTGTACTTCTATGTACTTATATGCTTACATTAGATTACATTACAATCATTTAGCAGACGCTCTCATCCAAAGTGTATTCAACATCGGTATTCAACAGAACTATGAGTCACCAGAAGTCATAAGTGCATCTCCTCTAAACAAGCATCTAAGAGCAGAAACCAGAGCAGAAGTACAGAAACAAACTAGTATGAATACAGTAAGTGCAAAGTGGAAGGCTCAGGGTAGTACTTCTTGAAGAGGTGAGTCTTCAGCCTGATGAAAGATGGGCAGCGACTCTGCTGTCCTGATGTCAGTGGGGAGTTCATTCCACCACTGTGGGGCCAGGACAGAAAACAGCCGTGACCGGGTCGATCGGCCACAGGGACCTGTGAGCGACGGGGCAACCGATCGCCCCGAGGCAGCAGAGCGAAGTGGTCGGGCGGGGGTGTAGGGCTTGACCATGGCCTGGAGATAGGAAGGAGCTGTTCCTTTCACTGCCCGGTAGGCTAGCACCAGAGTCTTAAACTAGATGCGAGCTCTTACAGGGAGCCAGTGTAGACAACGGAGAAGGGAAGTTGTGTGGGAGAACTTGGAGTGATTGAACACCAGGCAAGCTGCAGCTTTCTGGACACGCTCCAGAGGTCTGATGTACTTCTATATACTTCTATGTGCTTCTATGTATGCAGAAGAAGAAGAACAAGAAGAAGAACAAGAAGAACAAGAACAAGTAGAACAAGAACAAGAAGAACAAGAACAAGAACAAGAAGAACAAAAACAAGAACAACAAGAAGAACAACAAGAAGAACAACAAGAAGAACAACAAGAACAACAAGAAGAACAAGAACAAGAACAAGAACAACAAGAACAAGAACAAGAACAAGAAGAACAACAACAACAACAAGAACAACAACAACAACAAGTCATGCTGGATGGTGTCCCACCGGCCAGCTGTCCTCTGTCGGTGTCCCCAGCACTCTGAGGACACAGCAGAGCTGCTCGATGTCGTTCTCTCCGGGAAACAGAGGAGACGAGTTCAGAAGCTCACCGAAGATACAGCCCACCGCCCTGAAACACACAGGCTTTTATTGTGAAGGGCTACAGGAACAGGAACAATAGGTCTGACTGGAAGTAAAGTAAAAGTCATGATGTCGACTATGGAGGACGACCTCATGCTGCATATAATAATAATACAATAATAATAATAAAAAAATAATAATAATTATAATTATAATAATTATAAAATATACAATAATAATAATAATAAAAAAATAATTATAATAATGACAACAATAATAATAAAACAGCAACAATAATCCGAATAATAATAAACTTAATTTATATGGAACCTTTTATATAACTGTTAGAGTACTACTACTACAACTATTAATCCTACTGATCCCACTACTACTACTGAGTATTTTCAGTATTAAGATGAGTAGTTTTCTCACCACAGATCGACTCCCTCGTCGTACTTCCTGGCTCCGTACAACAGTTCAGGTGCTCTGTACCACCTGAACACACACACATGTTATAATAATAGATTCATAATAGATTCATAATAGATTACTAATAGAGTATAACAGCGTCACCTGGTGGCCACCTGGTGACTGTACAGTCTCTCTTCTTGCTCACTGAACAATCTGGCTAAACCGAAGTCTGCGATCTTCAGATGACCTGAAGAGCTGATGAGGAGGTTAGCCGGCTTCAGGTCCTACACACACACACACACACACACACACACACA